ACCACTGAGAGATATTTTTATTTTAAATATTGTATTATATATTTGGCCTTTGGTTTATGACCTTCGGCGATTTTTTTTTCCGGTCACACTAAAGTCAACGAGTGGGCTCCACGTGGCGTGCGCGCATGCTTTAGCAACTAGACCCCACTTGTTCCGTCTCAGAGTCAGAGCCCGAATATGACACTTCTCTTCTTTTTTTTCCGGCAACTTTGTTAATGTTAATTAAACTAACAAAACTGTGTATAATTCCCTAACTATTTTAAGAAATTAGTAGATATTAGTAACATTTATACCCGGTTACAAAATCTTTGTTTTTTTCACCCGTCGTCTCCCTAATCATTTTCTTTTGCCTAACGTTGGTCTCTATACGCATCTTCTCATTTCCAATCCTTACCCCAAAAGAAAATTACATAAACATTTGAACTTTTGCGTCAATTTTTGAATAATACCCAAAACAAGTGTGGATGGAAACTTCTATATACTACAACCGCTAAAAACTAGTATAGTTTGCATGATCCTTTTCTTCTCTAAAAATATACATATTTAATAAATTAAAAACATTCAAGTAATTTTGTTACGGGTCAATCTTACCTGATTCATCCGTTAAAGAATATGAATAATTATTTGCATCACAAGATTCAAATAACTATGTACATCACCAATCTTACCTACGGTAAGTTTATTTACTATATATTGAAGTACTAATTATCATTTTTTAATTAATAACCATTTATTCCTTGTATGTCCGTTCTCTTTGAGCTTTGGAACAATTTCACTGCGGTGTTTGCTTTTGCTCAGCTATTGCATATCCATTATGTTGCATCGTCAATCTCAAATTATCGGTCTCTTAATCGTTCGAGGAAAGGTATTGTGGTCAGGCTTCTACTTCAAGTCTGTGTTTATCTACTTTGGAAAGAGCGTAATCGCCGCATCTTCGTCTCCACCTCCTCGACGATGGAAGCCATCCGTGCTCAGGCTGATCGGATGATGCGTGATCGTCTCCTCTCCTTCCCTGCAACAAGTGTAAGCTCTCCTTCTCTATTAGAAGTTTACTTTCATTGTATTGCATGTTCTTTGTAATTTCTGTTTTATCTCCCTTGTAATAAGTTGGTCGTTCAACATTGTAAAATCAAAAAAGAAAATGGTATAAATCTTAACATTTATACCAAAATAAAAATTATTACTTTTTACAATATGACTGCCGTTGGAGAAAAATGAGCTCTATGGTGATCGTTTGATTTGCAGGAAGAAGAAAATCACAAAGTTTCCCTTACAACATTTACTGGAAAAAAAAAGTTCAAGTTGCATTTTATCCCTAGCCATAACTTATTTGCTAATTTATTGGAGCTTCGCGTAGATTCATTTAACCGTCTAGCTAAGATTCTGTTGAGATGAATAATTTTTTTGTTTCGCATAAATTATTTCACTAGTGAAGCATTATTTGTCCAAAATGTATAATTTTACGCATAATGGTTTGCGTAACGTCTCACTCCTCACAAATGTAGATATATGTTTTACAAAGGAAAAATCATTCTTAACAACACCAAGTGTTGGATAACATGTTGCAAACCATCCCAAGTACAGAAATATGTTTTAAACTACACATACTATTATATAATACATGGTGACGTACATCAAGTATATGTAAACATGTTGAAAACTACAAAGTAGTGTTTTCTGTAAATATTTATCAATTTGGGGGTCAATTTGTAATTATTTTCATTAAAAAGATAATTTTTTTTTATGAAAATCCAAAAACCTAAGAGAATATAAAACTTAACAATTCAAAAGAACTTTACTGTCCCACCCATCTCACCAGGAAGGGGAGGCCTAACCCTGATATGGAAAAAAGAAGTTAAT